TTTTTAAAGATTTATTTATTCATACTGAACTGCTGGGATACAGGGCGGGATGCGGAGGGTGAGAGGATTCAACAGAGACAGAGTGGGGAGCAGAACAGGCAGATCAATGAAATACACTGCTAAGGGGAGCAGCAGGTGGATCAGGAGAGGTCTGCCACGCCATGTGGATCTCCTCCGGGGCAGGCTGGGATCGAACTCATGCGGAAGTGGCTTAAGCTTCTTAGTGCAGTGCTTTAACCCGCTGCGCCACCAGCGAGGGCCCTAGCCTAGATGATTTTTAAGGGACAGTGGTACAGTTCAATAGTTGTGACAGAGACTGAATGGCCTGCAAAGCCTGAAGTATTTACCAAATATTACCTTACAGAACATGGAATGCTCATAACCTATAGCAGGCAATATGGTGGATATATAGATTAACATGACATAACTTTTGGATTTTCTGCTATTTTTTGATGGTAAAATACTTAAAAATATTTTTACAGAAGGCAAATATATAGAAAATAAAATAGAAAAAGCAAATTTCACAAATTTAATATAAAAAATAGTAATCAAATTTCCCCATTTGTAACTATGCCAATAAACCCTCTAACTCCATCTCTCTAGGAGGTATGCATTCATTTTTTTAAGATATTTTGGAAGAACAGATGCTGCTGTGGTGAAATAAAAATGATTTTATTTGGTTAAACTACATATTTCAAAAACAATATTCTTTGTATTTAACTGTTGGAATTCAATTTCAAAATGGTATCAAAAAGAGACAAAAATTTAAGGATAGATATTACTTATTATGTATATTATTATGTATATTTTTACTTTTTAAATCAAATAATAACTGTTCATAGTCGTAAACTCATTATATACAAGTTTACAGAAAAAAGCTTTAGCCTGCTTTTAGATCTATTGATAATCATTTCCATAATCCAAAATAATGCTTCTTTTTCTCAAATACTTTTATATTATGCGAAGATTGCATTTTATTATTGAAAATTTAGAAGCTAAATATCAGAATGTCAGTTCTATATGAAATACACCTAACACATATTATAATACTCTTATGTACTTACTATACTCTTATAATAGTGCATTACATATAGGAAGCACTATAAATGTATCCATCATCATCATTAGTATTCAGATCAATATAACAAAGGTAACCTGATAATTGATCCATAACCATTTGAACATTTTTATGTCTTCTCTCATCTTTTTTCTGTGTAGGTATATATATATATATATGTATGTATACACACACATAAACAATATGTGAACATACTATAGTCACTTAAAACCTGATTTTTCCCCCCTTAACACATTCCAAACTCATGCCATTAAATATGCATTATTTTAAAGGTTGCACAGAATTATATTGTGTGAGCGCCTTACTTACTTAATAATCTAATATTAGACATTTAGTTCTTTCCAACTTAGCATTGTAATAAAGTTATCAGTTTTAAATGACTTCTTCCTCATTATCATTCAGCAGAAAAGCTGTCTTCCCTCTAGTCTTGGTTAAGGGCACAGTTCCCTAAGTCCTCCCGCAAACTGCCCATACTTGTGCTAGAAGCTACCAAGCCACTCTTAGGCCACAGGCACTGGCACTGGGCGTGTTTTAGCATCTTTATCACATTATTTCTTACAGGAGGTGAGGGAGGAAATGCCACAAGCACTGTCAGGAAACCACAAACAAAAATAGGACTTCTCAAAATGACAGTAGTAAGCGCTATTCTGTATGAGATAGAGGGTACCATCTCAAAGGTACACAAACAAGTTTTTAGAGAGACTAAAGGTAAAGATTGTAATTTGACTTTGTTGCTTGGATTATGATGGTGAAACATGGCTTCAGCTACAAGATGCTAACAGCATGAAGATACATTGTTTAATCAGCTACAAACATAGGTCAAGGACCTCTCAATATACTGAGTCTAGTTTAAAGCACGCTGATTATTTCCAAATAATCAGGCTAGGCAATAAGGGTAAGGTTTTATTTGAGGGTAAAAACATGATGACAGGGGCTCTCCATGGTGGCGCAACCGGTGAAAGCACCACACTATGAAGCTCTCTGAAGCCACTTCAGCATAAGTTTGATCCCCCACCAGGGAGCTGACCCACAATGGTGTGCCAGACCTCTTCTGACCGGCCCGCTACTCCCCTCAGCAATGTATTTCAGTACATCTGCCTGTTCTGCTCCCCACTCTGTCGCTGGTGAATTCTCACCCACCACACCTCTGGCCTATACCCCAGTTCTATAAGCATAAATAAATCTTTAATAAAAATAATATATTCATACATATATTTATTACATACTTACTATGCAGGACCTTCTATAGGCACTATGTATGTTGTTCAAGGAGAAAATAATTTTTAAAGGTGATCATTCTAAAGTCAATAGTATATGAAAGTCTGGACTCGGCAGATTACTTAGGGTACTTTTTGTAACATTTTAACAAAAGTGTAAGTAATATATACTCATTAAAGAGAATTTTGAGTTATAGAAAATTACCCATATTTCACAAATTTTCCAAATATGAAGCATGAGATGTATGGCCAGAATGCAATAGTCTGATAAATATGGCAAAGAGAAGAAATCATTGAAGAAATTGTGCATAGCTGTCCTGGGGAGAAGACAATCAAATTGTCCCTCAACTGTTTGAGACATTCTGGAGAAAAAGAAATACTCAGCATTGCTCAAAAATTAGGGGCAACAAACTTAAATGCCTCCAAGGGCCAGAAAGTTATACATGAAAGTACATTAGGGCAGATATAAGGGGGAATTATAAGGGCTAAGAGAATGAAGAGCAAAATGGCCTGTATAGAGTAAACTGTCCTAAATCAACTCCATTTAAATTGCATAAACAAGCCCAGAACAGGATATCCATCTTTATTTAAATTGAAGCAACACTGGTTTGCAACATAGTATGTGATGCAGAAGCATAGGATAATACCTATCTAGAAATCCAGGTGTTTCAACAGTCACCAATCTCTTAACGTTCACAACTAATTACACAAAAAAAGACAAAAAATCTTCTAACCCCATTAGTCAGTCCACCATCATAGGTATAGTTTACAACCCTTGTTTTAGAGACTAAAACCAAGGGCAGCAAATACAGAGTGCAGAGAAGCCCACTTGAGCCTCGCCAGGCACCAGAATAGCTGCCCTGAGAACTGGCAGAGCAAACAGAGCTGAATGACTTTAAATTGAAGAGTGGTTGAACCAAAGCGATCTTTCAACACACTCCCAAGTCTACTAAACAATTAGTTCAGAGGAGCTCTTATCAGTATCAGACACAAATATGCTAGAAATACCTATTTCAAAACCAGTCAGAACCCAAAAGGAGAAAAATCGTGTCACTCAAATAGTGCATTACTGACAACAGGAAGAAAAAGGGAAGACAAACTATGGTATCATATAAAGCAGACAACTCATTCAAAAGGTCAATAAAGTTATGGAAAGATGCTTAGGGAAACCTGTAGGTTGTCCCGCCCTTTTTTCCAGTAGAGATTGTATAATTATAGTAAAATGCCTAGGAAAGAAAAGTAAAGGAATTATACTCAGTTTTAAAAATGCTTGTCTAGGGCCTCCCTGGTGGCACAGGAGTTAATTCTTGCACTATCAAGCTACTGCCAGTCACTGAGGCCTGAGTTCAATCCCTGACCCAGATGGCTCAGCAGACCTCTCCTGTCTCCAACCCCGCTCCCCTCAGCAGTGTATATCAGTACATCTGTCTGTTCTGTTCCCCACTTTGTCTCTGGTTAATATTCCTAACCTGCCCTTCTGGCCTATAACCCAGTTCTTCTAAGCATAAAAAAAAAGTCTTGAAAAAATGTCTATTGGAGAGAAGACTTTGGAGAAAGCACGCTGATTGTACTTTTTTAGGTTTTGATACTACTTGTCACTGAAAATATCACCACTATGTAGTTGAAAGATAGGAAGAAATGGTGAGAATTTTGTAAACTCTCAATTTGTTATGTTCTAGTGTGAGAATGGACACAACAAAAAAGATCTCCTTTCAACATGCATTAGCAGGGATCTCACAATGTGTGCTGATCTCTTTAGCACACAGTCATTCTTTGGTACACAGTTGAAGGTGGGTTTTATAAGATAGACTCAATGACTACTTTATATATTATTTCCAATATTTTTTTTTTTTTTAAGATTTACTTATTTATTCGTACAGAACTGGGGGACAGACCAGAGGTACAGGGTTGGTTAGAGAATCCACCAAAATAGAGTCGGCAGCAGAACAGGCAGATGGACGAAGTACACTGCTGAGGGGAGCAGAGGTCAGGCCAGGAAAGGTCTACCACACCATGTGGGTCACCTCCGGGGCCGGGGATTAAACTTGCACTGAAGTGGCTATGGCTAGCTTGCAGGGCTGCATCCTAACCCAATGAGCCACGAGGGAGGGTCCCCAATAAATGTTTTTTTAATACCAAAACATGTTACGACCAACTTCAATAACACAGTTAAAAGGTATATTTCTGGCCATTTTTGTTTTTACTTTAACCAGTAAAAAAAAAAGCCTACCTTAATGGTGTAAGAAAATCATACCCAGATCCCATAGTGTGATATTTTATCCCAAACTCCATGCCCTTTGTAGCAACTCTATATGGGTATGTTTTGTTTTAGTGAGTGTGGTACCAAGAATTGTGTCTTTTTTTTTTTTTTAATTTTTTAATTTTTATTTA